GCAAAGACGAGGAGGAGAGGAAGGAACATAATTGGTCAACGTGCCATCATTGAGGTACCTGGCCAGCGCAGGGGAAATGTCACCATATGCGCAGCTATAAGCCACAATGGTGTCCTCCACCTCCATGCCACCCTTGGACCATACAACACTGCCTATCTCCTTAATTTCCTGAACACCTTACATGACAATCATTTTCAACCAGTGCAGAGAGGGCCAGGTGATGCTGAGCAGCAAATGTATGTTCTAATTTGGGACAACGTGAGTTTCCATCGGGCTGCTCAGGTCCGCAACTGGTTCCATCACCATCCCAGGTTTACAAATCTCCCACCATATTCCCAATTTCTCAAGCCAATTGAGTTGTTTTCAGTATGGCGGTGGAAGGTGTATGATTGCAAACCCTATGAACATATGGCCCTTCTCCAGGCAATGGAGGAGGCCTGTGGTGACATTCCAGCAGTCCTGTCAGTGGTGGATGCGTCATGCCAGAAGATATTTCCCCCGCTGTCTGGCCAAGGAGAATATTGCCTGTGATGTTGATAAAAAATCTGTGGCCGGACAACAACAACAGACATGACTGATATTATTTTCACAATGGAGTATTTGTTTCTTGACTTATGACTTAGATTTGACTGAATTTTGATAGTTTCTTAATCTATTCCGTGCAATTGATCTAACATACAGTAATGCAAAATATATTTACTGTATGTTCGAATTTTTACTGTTTGTGTACAGTATGCTGTTTGACATGCATTGAGTCATGTTGAAATATAAAACTAAAATTGTTGCATTTGTGTTCCATTCTTGTTTAAGTACACACAGACAATATACAGCATAACAACAAAATATTAGTCTTTACACCGAAAATAGGTTCTGATAGTAGTGTTTTGAATATGTCACATTAGTGTGATCTCGGTTGTCACTAAGTTAGATTCATTTGATGTGTGTGTGTGTGTGTGTGTGTGTGTGTCTCATTTGTATGCAGAGGTTCATTTTGAGCAGGGAGTACATGATTTTGATTGCTGTGTTTCATTTTGCGGGGTTTGGGGAAATAGGCAAACTGTTTGGTGTTTACAGTTTTAAGTACCTGAGATGTAGTGTCAGCAAACAGGTGTTAACAATTAGGAAAAACTGTAATTTGTCTGTAAAAGTGTTTAGGCAGAGGCATGGGTAGAGTTTGGAACAGATATACAGGCAGTTTCATCATAGCGCTTGATGGTTTTTGCGACTGCACTTGAAGAAACTTTCAAAGTTCTTGAAATGTTCCGGATTGACTGACCTTCATGTCTTAAAGTAATGATGGACTGTCGTTTCTCTTTGCTTATTTGAGCTGTTCTTGCCATAATATGGACTTGGTCTTTTACCAAATAGGGCTATCTTCTGTATACCCCCCCTACCTTGTCACAACACAACTGATGCATTAAATGCATTAAGAAGGAAATAAATTCCACAAATTTAACAAGGCACACCTGTTCATTGAAATGCATTCCAGGTGACTACCTCATGAAGCTGGTTGAGAGAATACCAAGAGTGTGCAAAGCTGTCATCAAGGCAAAGGGTGGCTACTTTGAAGAATCTCAAATATAAAATATATTTTGATTTGTTTAACACTTTTTTGGTTACTACATGATTCCATATGTGTTATTTCATTGTTTTGATGTCTTCACTATTATTCTACAATGTAGAAAATAGCAAAAATAAAGAAAAACCCTGGAATGAGTAGGTGTGTCCAAACTTTTGACTGGTACTGTATATATCAAGACAAACACTTCCCGTCATGGTACCATTGCATTGGCCTTACTGATTTATGGCTAGAACTAACGCTTTTCCTCAACAAGAAAAATGAAACGTCAGATATGTATAAGGTTATACATGTCACATTTCTATTTAGCCAGCCAGTTTATGTTCTCAAGTTATAGTTGGCTGGAAACCCCAAACAGTATAACGTCGGCGTTGGTATAAGTAATTAGGATAAACAAAGCAAATTGTCAGCCGGGCAGGCAAAAAATAGTCATAGTAAATTATAATACACCCGGCCCACAAGATGATTAAATATTAACCCCAAATGTATTGATAGTCAGCCCATTTGTGCGAAATCAGCCAAGCCCAACCGCAGCCCATTGTTAGGTACCAACAGGCTTAGCTGCTAAGCACTAACCAGCCATCATCAGGTAGCCAGCTAGTAGCCATATCATGACATACAAAAGCCAAAAAGCCCAACATAACATGATATTTAAGAACAGAGAAATAATATTTTAGCAAAAGGTATGTTGCCAGTCAGATACGGCTACTGAATATAAAACACAAATGAAACGCAAATCAGCCTGTATTAGTTAGCTGTCAATGACAGATAGTATAAGTTAACGTTTGTATAGCTATCTAAGTAGCCAATGTTAGTTAAGAAAAAACAAAGCAAATTGTCAGCCGAGCAAGCAAACATTAGCCAGAGCCAGCCCATCATAACGTTATTGTCACGGACGTTGAAGGACGGGTCAGACCAAGGCGCAGCGTGAAATGCATCCATGTTTATTAAACCAAATAAACATACAAAACAACAACAAGCAACGAAACGTGACGTCGGAAGGCTATACACACAAGCCAGACTCACTGAGCACAAAACAAGATCCCACAACCCAGGCAGGAAAACTGGCTGCCTAAGTATGATCCCCAATCAGAGACAACGAGCGACAGCTGCCTCTGATTGGGAATCACACCCGGCCAAACATAGACGTACAAAACCTAGATCTAAACATAGATCTACCATAACATCGAACTAAACATGCACACCCTGACCAAACTAACTAGAGTTATATAGGTCAGGGCGTGACAGTTATAAGCAAAAACAAAGTAATACAAATGATGTAATACAAATTATAACACACCCAGCCCCAACTATTAAACCCAAATGTATTTGTAATCAGTCCGTCAATATGTGGGAATTAGCCAAGCCCAACCGCAGCCCATCGTTATGTACCAGCCAGCTATCTAAGCGCCGACCAAATATCAACAGGTAGCTGCTGGCCAGTAGCCACATCATAGTAAACAATAGCCCAAAAGCCCAACAAAACAAGATATTTAAGAACAGATAACTAATATTTTAGCAAAAGGTATGTTGCCAGTCAGATATGGCTACTGAATATAAAACCCAAATGAAACAATCAGCCAGTTGGTGGCCATATAGCCAGCCAGCCGTCAGTGAGACGAGACAGCTAAATCCACCTAAATCCCCAACATTAGAGAATGACAGTAGCTAGCTAGTATACCTGGGCCGCTGTTGAAACATCCATCAAGCAGAGTCCAATCTGTATTTTGGGGGGGGGGAGAATGGCTCGAAATGTCAAATGTTCTGTCCTCATGATGGAGTAGAAGATGTGAATAGTTCAGGGTATTCCCTCTTCAGGTATATCTCGGCTGCCTTCACCATATCTAATGTGCGTTCTCCAGTGTTGGTTCGAGTCCACAGGGTAGCCGGGTGGCGCAGGCCGTATGTCAGTGCTGACGGTCTCAGAAGCCTCTTGATTGGAGTGAATGCCATCCTCCTCTTGTGGAGTGCTGGTGAGAGATCAGGAAAGATCATGATGTGGGATTCCCCAAACCGTATGTCCCCCTTTGCTCTTGAGGCCTTGAGTATGCTGATAGTGTCCTGGTAGAGGAGCAGCTTGATAACGAAATCTCGGGGAGGCCCTCCCTGACTAGGTGACCTCCTCTGTTGTGTACGGTGAGCCCTTTCGATTTCAACTGGGTGAGCTTAGGTGGGTAGGTCCAGTAGCTTGGGTAGCCATTCCTGTAAGAATGCCTCCTTCAACTCCCTCTGGGAAGTCTTTGTTCCTGAGGTTGCTGCGCCGCTGAACATTTTTAAAGGACATCAACCTTTTCCTCTAGCTTCAAGATGGAGTCCGCTAGCTTCTTGTCCGTTTCCTCCACATCTTTGCGTACATCCACAATTGCAGTCTCATGGTCAGAGTGCCTGGTTTGCAACTGGGTTAACTGCTTACTTGTCTTGGTCTTGGTCTTGGTGTAGTTTATGCGTGATTTCATCCACTTTGTTGAATCGGGCAGAAATGGTGTCTTGTATTTGAACGATGGCCTTATCCATCTCCATTTTGAACCCGGCAGGCGCAGCCTCATTGTCCATCTTTGACGTGGAGGTAGTTGAGGGTTTAGGAAGGTCTGTCATTTTAGGAGGCATCGTGTTTTATAACTGGTAAGCGATAGCGTTATGTCTACTTGCTTTTTTAGTAGGCTAACAGCAGAAATGTGGTCCTTGTGGGGACCGCCGAAATGTCCAAATATTCTTTTTTTTTTACTATCCTTGTGAGGACTTCTGGTCCCCACAAGGACAGTAAAACCAAACCACAACACACACACATACCTACTTCACACACACAGCATCAACAACTCGGAAGACAGATGGTTCAGTCGATATAGCCTGCACTCTGAGTGTGATAAAACATGATGTCTCTCCGGTGCCAGTCACGAAAAACACTAGTTAAAACCTCTTCGTTCCACTTCCAGAGTGTGTTACACTGCATTAAGCCGTGAAGAATACGCGCCCACAAGCAAAGGCTTATATGCTGCATCCTTCCTGCATATTCGATGCAAATATTGCTACAGAGCTCTGTTAATCTTACTATTCTTTACAATACAACAAAGATAAACCTACACAAAAATAAACCTGCACTGCTGCTCCCAAGAGTGAATTTACTGTCTACATGGAGACAAAAAAACATTTCAACCATAAACGTCACACCAAGAGAAGCAATACCGAGAGCACAATTATTTTGTTCTCATGCCTTCATTGATTTTCCAAGTAGCAGTACACATACAGGATGTGTATTTGTTATCTTGACAAGTAGTTAGCATTTGTATATGCATTACCAATTACATTCAGAGGGACATGCAGTACATTGTTTGCAAAGACACAATGTACTGCATTCTTACTAAGGTCCTTATGTCCTGTATGATTTTTTGTTAGCAAAACATTTGCGGAAAGGCCACAAGATTTAGTACTGGGATTAACAATAACAACCATGCTTTTACCAAGAAATTGTGTTTGTGTATGCATGTAAAGTGTAGGAAGCACACACCATCAATGTATGAACTATGGATGGATGAATGGATGGATGGATGGACGAAGGGATGGAAAGTTGAACGGATGAATGAAAGTAGACTCACTTCCATGCTGGTCACGTTACATCGGTGAGTTCCGGCAAACCAGCCACTGCTGGAGCACTGGTCAATGTCCACATCCTGTAGGTTGACATCCACTCGAACCACACCCCTGTAAGAGGAGAGAAAGATACACAGAGAGAGAGAGAGAGAGAGAGAGAGAGAGAGAGAGAGAGGGGGGGGGGTGCATAGAGGTTAGAGAGAGCAGTTAGCTTCAACTCAGACGTCTCTTTTAGTGTAAGATAGAGAAAGAGAGAAAGAAAGAAAGAAAGAAAGAGAGAAAGAAAGAAAGAAAGAAAGAAAGAAAGAAAGAAAGAAAGAAAGAAAGAAAGAAAGAAAGAAAGAAAGAGCAGAGGTTCCATTGTGACCTCATCTATAACAGGGTCTCTACTTTGGTCCAATGTCTACAGGTGAACTATTGAGGGAAATAAACTATTCAAGGCAAAAACTGGTATGAGCATTGAATGCTACTCAAGCAGAGTATTTCGTCCAATTGAACGTCAATTGCAACAAAAAATATATATCCTGTGTATCTGGTTAATATGTTCATATGTTCCAAATCTTTATTGTGCCCTAATGAGAGAAGTAGTCAAGCTTAAATAGCCCAATTGAATCATGTCGACTCCAGCTCTGAGCATCATGTTTACTGTAACCAAAACATAAATATCTTATAGGGTTACAGTAAATCAATAGACTGATGGTTCGCTTGATGTTGTTTCCCTCTGGGAGACAATCCTGCACACACACTCTATCTACTGGCACATGATTCATTAGGCTACTGCATTGGCTTGCATCCAAAGCACCTTCACATATCCACAGTTTGCATTTGGACAACTGGATAGTTGGGTGGGGCTAGCTCCCAGCCTGCCATCGGGTGTTCTCTTTCATGTGGTTTAAGATGATCAAATGGGCCCCAGGTGGGTCGCTCTCTTTATTCAGTCTCTGTCCGTTAGTCTCGTTCCCTTTCCTTTTCTCTCTCTTTCTTAACTTGTTTTTCAGTCTGCCACTGATCCCCCTGATCTATGCATTTCTGTGTCTGGCAATCTTGCCACTCTTTCCTCCAAAATCAAACATTATCTCCCAATTCACCCAGTCTGTCTGTCTGTCTGTCTGTCTGCCCCTCTTTCTCCCTCTCTTATAATGCCCAGGCCCCAGGGGTCGTTCTCAAGAGAAGCCTGACAATCATTAGCTCCATCTGTCTGGTGGGAACTGGAACAAACACCCATGAAGAAAAAAGGCTGAGGCTCATTCCATCTTTCCCCAGGCGCAAGAATAGAGGGGAAAGAAAGTGTAACTGTGACAGAGAAAGTGTTGATTAGCGAAAGAATCTGTGTGCGTGTGGGAGGGAGTGAGGGAGGGAAGGAAGGTGAGAAAAAATGTGTGTGAGAATGTGAGGATCCAGTGACATGAGGTAACCAGCAAGCAGGAGGGATTTTCTTTTTAAGTCAAACCATACAGCCTAACATAACCAGTGGTGGAAAAAGTACCCAATTGTCATACTTGAGTAAAAGTAAAGATAATGTATCTTAATAGAAAATGACTCAAGTAAAAGTGAAAGTCACCCAGTAAATACTACTTGAGTAAAAGTCTAAAAGTATTTGGTTTTAAATATACTTAAGTATCAAAAGTAAATGTAATTGTTAAAATGTACTTAAGTATCAAACGTAAAAGTAAAAGTATTAATCATTTCAAATTCCTTATATTAAGCAAACCAGATGGCATGATTTTCTAGTTGTTTAAATGTATGGGTAGCCAGGGAGGGGCACACTCCAACACTCAGACATCATTTACAAACAAAGCATTTGTGTTTAATGAGTCCACCAGATCAGTTGCAGTAGGGATGACCAGGGATTTTCTCTTGATTAGTGTGTGAAATTGACAATGTTCCTGTCCTGCTAAGCATTCAAAATGTAACAAGTATTTTTGGGTGTCAGGGAAAATGGATGGAGTAGAAAGTACATTATTTTCTCTAGGAATGTAGTGGAGTAAAAGTCAAAGTTTTCAAAAATATAAATAGTAAAGATACCCCAAAAAACGAATTAAGTAGTACTTTACTGTATTTGGTAACACTTAGTAAGCCTAACAAATACTGTATAGCCAGTCTAATCCAAACAAACCATTACCAAACCAATTACCAATTTTACCTTTATTTAACTAGGCAAGTCAGTTAAGAACAAATTCTTATTTACAATGACGGCCTACACCGGCCAAAACCGGACGACGCTGGGCCAATTGTGCGCCGCCCTATGGGACTCCCAATCACGGCCGGTTGTGATACAGCCTGGAATCGAACCAGGGGGTCTGTAGTGACACCTCAAGCACTGAGATGCAATGTGCTATAGGCTTACTAAATGGACTTTAAAATGTAGATCTAAATGAACCTGTATCCAGCTGGGAGGAAAGTGAGGAGACACCTCTGAGGACACATGGACCATTACCTCAAGCTCAAAGCCAATGTTCTCATTCTGCATATCCTCCAAAAAAAGCACACTGGAAACATTTACATTTTGATTAGGTTTACAAAAAAAAATGGTCGGTCTTGGTTTCTTTTATCCTTGGGGTGAATAGATTGCTTTGGATGTACATCCAAAGAGTTGGCCACGAACTCTCCGAAAAAGGAAGAGAGACAGAGACAGTGGGATTCTCTTTGATCTCGACACGTTGGGGCTGTAGTTGTTAAACTGAATCCACAGGCCTATTCTAAAAGTCATGCTGCTGCTGCTAATCATTAGACAACTATGCCACATCCATTTGTGGGAAAGTCAATTGAATTTTAATGCGCCCTCAGGACATTCTGAAATTCTGAACAGGAACAAGTTCTTTAAAAACCAGTAGAAGCAGTTAATTTCCCAGCTAATTAAAGGCCATCTTGCCGATGGCTTCATACCAATGTCCTCATAAAATGGCTTTCACGTTGTGTTCGTGGCCATAAAAAGAAAGGACTGAACTTTAGAAATCAAGTATATTGTACTTGAAATCCGAAAAGTCTTAAAAGCAGCTCCAAGGTCGATAATGCCTCCCTCTATGGTTGAGCTGGAGTTGATAGCTATGTTTTGCTAAGCCGAAAATGTACAGTAGCTGTCAGCAACAGCATGGGTCTTTGTCCGGCTGCCGCTGTATCACATTTGTAGTGGAGACACGTCAACAATGGTCCAATGTCAAATAATACCTTCCTACACATAGGCCTTCGTTTATCCCCTTCCAGATCTGAATCGACTGGATCGGTGTGAGCAAGCATCATGACAGCTCTTACCCTATTGCAGAGACCTATCAAAACCTTTTTTGATCTGTGAAGAGGTTTCAACAAGGGACTAGAGCAGGGGCATGGAATACCTGGGAGGCCAGGTAGGTGAAATGTAGCCAATCACTGATATTAATAAATCAGCTTAGTTGGTGTTGTGAATTAGTAGAGTCAGTTGTGGTGCTTGGTTAGAACTAGGCTAAATGTTTCTGTACCTGCAGCACTCCATACCAGAGCCCCTTGCTTAATGATATGGGCTTGGTAATTGTTTGGGATCGGCTCAGGCAACCGCTTTGAGATCATCTTGCATTTATGCTAAAGGAATGCACAAAACTGACTAACTTACATACAGATGTACTATCTTAATTTGATCACTCTGTTGTCGCAGATAATTTTCCTTCACTACAGGATATGCAAACTTGTAGTGTATTCAAGGTTTAAAAAGGCTTCTAAAGTTTGTAATTTCCACTTTAAAATGTCAGACTAACTAAAAATATATCACCCCTACAAAAATGTCCATTAATTATAATACTCATAATATTACACATTTCCTGTGGCTGAAAGATTATTTTCCTGCTGTGAAAAACGGTTCAAATTAAGATCTGTAGTCCTGCCTAAACAAATCAAACTCGGTGACAAACCAACATGCTGGAATTATTGTGTGGACACAGCAGCACTGAAATGTAAGTGGGAGTAAAGTGGACTTAAAATTCAAAGTGGTTTCAGATTGCCATTGTACTGCATGTCTTTTATAATTTATTCATGACTAAATGTATTTTTGGACACACTTGGACTGAAGCCTTGAAATACGTGTGTCCTAATGCACCGACCTACACTTTCACACAACTATCGCAAAAAAAAATGTACAGCAAAGCCAGGCCTTTTGAACCATGCAAGCTATAACAGCAAATTAAAATTAATTAGGCCTACTGTTTTAGTTTAAAGTTTTTACAGCAAACACATCCCTCAAAAAGGAAGTGTAGAGGCCTACACTGTGAATGCAAAAAAATAAGAGCTGTTTTTGACAGACAGCAGTGTTCGTTAATCATAGATAGTATACATGTCTTTGAGATGCTATCCAGCCATCTGTTCCTTCCACTAGGGCTGATTTCTGCATTGCACAAGCATCAGCCAAGCAGGAAAACAACTACTCAAACATCCCACAATGTCTATCCTATCCTCAATGTAACGTATTGCCCTCTTGCTGTGCATATCAGTGGATGGGACAAATCATTTTTCATGGTTATTCACTGAGTAAGTTTAATTTCAGATTCACTGGATCTATTCTTTGTAAAGTGGAGGGAATACAGATGGGTTATGTTTGGGTTGGCTTTCCTAATTAAAGGCTACTGAAGATTCGACTACCACATCAGGACCACATGCTGTTTTCAATAATGGCTAGCTCTGTGCAAACTATCCACAAGCATCAGAATTGGTCTAAAATGACTATCATAGTAAGATGCTCTAGGTAAACCTTAAAACGTTGCTGTAGAGAAGCAGCTTTATCCTACTGTTTGTGTTGAGAGGATTTATTTGGGCCCTTTTCCATGCACCTGCTTCAAAGCGCGGGAAGCATGCGGTCAGGTCGGCAATGCTGTCCTCTCAGGACCTGAAAAACAATATATAGGCCTACCTACCATTTCTTTCAATCGATAAACAATAGACATGGCAAATTTTAACCAAAAGTGTTACTTTCAAACAAACAGTCATGAGTGACAGCCAGCTCCCTTAGCCTCACCTGAACTCGGGTGCGGAATTTGTCTTCAACCCATAGAACCCCGCAGACAAGGTGAGTAACCAGTGCGGTACGAAATTCCCATGCTCGCATTCCAGGTACGGCGCAGACCACTTGATTTGACTTTTGTCCAGAATGTAGCTATTTTGAGTGGCTGTGGCGTCTCTGCCTGACGCCCTTCTCTGAACGTGCATTTTCTTTCGGTCCCTGAACTCGTTAAACCACTCAGAATCCGGGCTCCTGCTCTTGAGACGGTGGTGAGCAGAGTTGGAAAGGTCCTGGAGGACCACTTCCCTGTCAGTTCTTGTCGCTTGAAGGAAAACGTGAGGACCCGGTGTTGGAGCATCATTATGGAATGTAACCACTGCCCTGTGAATTTTGGGGTCCCCTTCGAGAATACTCCGAACAAGCGCGTGGTACCAGTGAATATCCCTCCGAAGGCTGTGCTCTCGCGACCTGTTGGCTTGTAAAATCATGTTCAGGAAGTTAGTCGCGTGCGCCATAGTGTCCAGCACGCTATGGAGAGAATAATGAGAGGCCACATTGGTTCCACCACGGAGGCTACTCAACTCATACCTCCGAGAACAGTTGACTTGTTCAAGAGCCGACGAGTCTCCAGTGTGCAGGAAAGCTGTCACCACCCTAGGCAGGTCCTCTTCGATTTTGTGCGCCACCACCGTGCGCTCCGTGGCGGATCCTGGGTAATAAGTTGGATGGTGCAGTGATTCCTTGTTGATATTTTGAGTGCTGTAAATAGAAGGGGTCTTTGCTCGTATTTCTGCGTCTTTGTCGTTATCCGACCATTCTACATACCCATAATTGGATCCGAAAACGAATCCCATTTGCAAAAGCATTTGAATAAGGAAAAAACACATACTGTGACTTATTTTACCGACTCAATGAAGAATCCGTTTGCTCTCCGTTGAGAACCGAAACTAACCCCTTTCGCGCAACGATTAAATTTGTATGCTAATGGTAAGCTACTAGGAGATGAATTCGTATCATCCCTATTCTATAACATAAGGTGCCATTTAAACATAGCCTTCTACCAAAAGCTCTAGACTACTTGCTACTTGTCCATGATAAAGAGATGCTCGACTTTACTTGCTTCCTCAACCGCCGTTCACGCTTTGCAACCGAGTGTCAGGCAGATGTTTTCATAGTCAACCAATTCTCTTACTGCCCAGACAGTTTTAGTTGGAAGTGACGCCTTCCTAACTCCAAGCAGCTCATTATAAACAGCTATGGTATTGCAGCGGTGAGCTCCGGTAGTCGCTTTTACACAGACAGAGCCATGGGCGAGGTAAAACACAAGCCGCCTATTTCAATCCTCCTAGAGCAGCCAGGAGAATTACAGTGAAAATAGAGGAAAGACTGGAGGCTTGAGAAAATTGCTTTCATAGTCCCATCGCTTCCAATATCGCAAAGGGCACCTGAAGTGTCGTAGACACACGCGTGTGGCTGCTATTGCTGCCAATCGTCTTTGTGAAGTGGTATGATATGGGTGGAGCTAGCTGCCGGAGCTGTTCGGTGCTGAAAGTAGCCTGTGAGAATGGGAAAGAACGTTGACCGATTTATGCATGACAGCTAAAGTGAAACGTGCAGGGTTTTAATTCGGATCGAGTATGTGATGAAATAGTGCCTATTATTTTTTATTTTTTCCTTGATAACTGTCCAGTCATCTCCCACAGTGATATCTTTATTTTTATCATTACTAAAATTAATGTCAGGTGAATGACAAAGGTGGCACCACAGGTTCAAAAGTGGTGTGGCAAAATTCGTAGGTGTCTTTTCTGGGGCCTGGAGTTTTTCCTGATCTCATGACCTAATCAGGTAAAACTCTGGATCCTATTCGTAGGCTATGACAAAATATTATAATTATAGATAGCTTCCTTTTTCTTTTGTGACTACAGGGCTGGTGTTTTTCTTCTCGGGTCATGTGAATTGGAAACACTCCTGGCCTAAGGTGGATCAAACCCTTTCAAACTACCACAAACCTTATTATTCATTCTGAATCTGATATCAAAAGAGCCAGAGACAACAACTTCAATGGACAACATACTGTACTCTGTAGTTTAGTGAACTACTATAGCAGGATTGAGCGTTATGTAAAGAATAGTTACAATGTCTTTAAATATTAATTTCACTCTATACACACACACAGACACGTTAAGCAGTGGATAAAAAATAAAATAAAAACACAGACAGGCAGGTTTCAATGTAGAAAAGTATTTTCATTTGATGTCATAAAACCTATTATTTACTCATCTGATTACAGTGCTCTTCTGCAATTATTCATTGTGTTACACTACACACAGTAGAATTTGTAACGAGGCAGGGTTACATTTAACACTATACACAGTAGACTTTGTAAAAAAATTTTTTTACATGTGTAAGTCATCATAAAACCACTAACCTTGTGTTATTGTCCTGGTCTCCATCTGGCCCACCAGAGGTTGGTTCCCTGGTGCTCACTGTAGGAACTGCCTGTAAAATCCATACACTACCGGTCAAAAGTTTTAGAACACCTACTCATTAAAGGATTTTTCTACATTGTAGAATAATAGTGAAGACATCAAAACTATGAAATAACACATATGGAATCATATAGTAACCAAAAAAGTGTTAAACAAATCAAAATATATTTAATATTTGAGATTCTTCAAATAGCCACCCTTTGCCTTGATGACAGCTTTGCACACTCTTGGCATTCTCTCAACCAGCTTCATGAGGTAGTCACCTGGAATGCATTTCAATTAACAGGAGTGCGTTCTTAAAAGTTAATTTGTGGAATTTATTTCCTTCTTAATGCGTTTCAGCCAATCAGTTGTGTTGTGACAAGGTAGGGGGGTAGACAGAAGATAGCCCTATTTGGTAAAAGACCAAGTCCATATTATGGCAAGAACAGCTCAAATAAGCAAAGAGAAACAACAGTCCATCATTACTTTAAGACATGAAGGTCAGAACTTTGAAAGTTCCTTCAAGTGCAGTCACAAAAACCATCAAGCACTATGATAAAACTGGCTCTCATGAGGATCGCTACAGGAATGGAAGACCCAGAGTCACCTCTGCTGCAGAGGATAAGTTCATTAGAGTTACCAGCCTCAGAAATTGCAGCCCAAATACAGTGGGGAAAAAAAGTATTAAGTTAGCCACCAATTGTGCAAGTTCTCCCACTTAAAAAGATGAGAGAGGCCTGTAATTTTCATCATAGGAAAACGTCAACTATGACAGACAAATTGAGAATTTTTTTCTCCAGAAAATCACATTGTAGGATTTTTAATGAATTTATTTGCAAATTATGGTGGAAAATAAGTATTTGGTCACCTACAAACAAGCAAGATTTCTGGCTCTCACAGACCTGTAACTTCTTCTTTAAGAGGCTCCTCTGTCCTCCACTCGTTACCTGTATTAATGGCACCTGTTTGAACTTGTTATCAGTATAAAATACACCTGTCCACAACCTCAAACAGTCACACTCCAAACTCCACTATGGCCAAGACCAAAGAGCTGTCAAAGGACACCAGAAACAAAATTGTAGACCTGCACCAGGCTGGGAAGACTGAATCTGCAATAGGTAAGCAGCTTGGTTTGAAGAAATCAACCGTGGGAGCAATTATTAGGAAATGGAAGACATACAAGACCACTGATAATCTCCCTCGATCTGGGGCTCCATGCAAGATCTCACCCCGTGGGGTCAAAATGATCACAAAAACGGTGAGTAAAAATCCCAGAACCACACGGGGGGACCTAGTGAATGACCTGCAGAGAGCTGGGACCAAAGTAACAAAGCCTACCATCAGTAACACACTACGCCGCCAGGGACTCAAATCCTGCAGTGCCAGACGTGTCCCCCTGCTTAAGCCAGTACATGTCCAGGCCCATCTGAAGTTTGCTAGAGTGCATTTGGATGATCCAGAAGAGGATTGGGAGAATGTCATATGGTCAGATGAAACCAAAATAGAACTTTTTGGTAAAAACTCAACTCATCGTGTTTGGAGGACAAAGAATGCTGAGTTGCATCCAAAGAACACCATACCTACTGTGAAGCATGGGGGTGGAAACATCATGCTTTGGGGCTGTTTTTCTGCAAAGGGACCAGGACGACTGTTACGTGTAAAGGAAAGAATGAATGGGGCCATGTATCGTGAGATTTTGAGTGAAAACCTCCTTCCATCAGCAAGGGCATTGAAGATGAAACGTGGCTGGGTCTTTCAGCATGACAATGATCCCAAACACACCGCCCGGGCAACGAAGGAGTGGCTTCGTAAGAAGCATTTCAAGGTCCTGGAGTGGCCTAGCCAGTCTCCAGATCTCAACCCCATAGAAAATCTTTGGAGGGAGTTGAAAGTCCGTGTTGCCCAGCGACAGCCCCAAAACATCACTGCTCTAGATGAGATCTGCATGGAGGAATGGGCAAAAATACCAGCAACAGTGTGTGAAAACCTTGTGAAGACTTACAGAAAACGTTTGACCTGTGTCATTGCCAACAAAGGGTATATAACAAAGTATTGAGAAACTTTTGTTATTGACCAAATACTTATTTTCCACCATAATTTGCAAATAAATTCATTAAAAATCCTACAATGTGATTTTCTGGAAAAAAAAATCTCATATTGTCTGTCATAGTTGACGTGTACCTATGATGCAAATTACAGGCCTCTCTCATCTTTTTAAGTGGGAGAACTTGCACAATTGGTGGCTGACTAAATACTTTTTTTCCCCACTGTAAATGCTTCACAGAGTTCAAGTAACAGACATATCTCAACATCAACTGTTCAGAGGAGACTGTGTGAATCAGGCCTTCATGGTCGAATTGCTGCAAAGAAAGCACTACTAAAGGACACCAATAAGAAGAAGAGACCTGCTTGGGCCAAGAAACACAAGCAATGGACATTAGACTGCTGGAAATGTGTCCTTTGGTCTCGAATCCAAATTGTAGATTTTTGGTTCCAACCGCCGTGTCATTGTGAGACGCGGTGTGGATGAACGGATGATCTCCGCATGTGTATTTCCCACCGTAAAGCATGGAGGAGGAGGTGTTATTGTGTGGGGGTGCTTTGCTGGTGACACTGTCTGTGATTTATTTAGAATTCAAGGCACACTTAACCAGCATGGCTACCACAGCATTTTGCAGCGATACGCCATCCCATCTGGTTTGGGCTTAGTGGGACTATCATTTGTTTTTCAACAGGACAATGACCCAACACACCTCCAGGCTGTGTAAGGGATGTTTTACGAAGAACGAGAGTGATGGAGTGCTGCATCAGATGACCTGGCCTCCACAATCCCCCGACCTCAACCAAATTGAGATGGTTTGGAATGAGTCGGACCGCAGAGTGAAGGAAAACAGACAACAAGTGCTCAGCATATGAGGGAACTCCTTCAAGACTGTTGGAAAAGCATTCCAGGTGAAGCAGGTTGAGAGAATTCCAAGAATGTGCAAAGCTGTCATCAAGGCAAAGGGTGGCTATTTAAAGAATCTCGAATATAAAATATATTTTGATTTATTTAACACTTTTTTGGTTACTACAGTGGCTTGCAAAATAAATTCACCCCCTTTGGCATTTTTTGTTGCCTTATAACCTGGAATTAAAATGGATTTTTTGGGGGTTTGTATCATTTGATTTACACAACATGCCTACCACTTTGAAGATGCAAAATATTTTTGGGGGTGAAACAAACAAGAAATAAGACAAAAAAAAGACAACTTGAGCGTGCCGAGTCATCCTCGAAACCTTAATGACTTGGAGAAGATCTGCAAAGAGAAATGGGACAAAATCCCTCCTGAGATGTGTGCAAACCTGGTGGCCAACTACAAGAAACGTCTGACCTCTGTGAT